GATTGACTATTTACGTTAGCTTCGAATAGTGTCCAAAAATTTTCAAACTCCCAAGCCTTTCCTGTAAAAATTGGTATTAAAATGGCTGGTAGTTTTGGTCTCGTTGTTGCATTTTGCCACTCATTATAAGCAACGTTGTTCGTAGAGTCCAACTCTTCACGCGCGCTGAATACTTTTGCCTCTAGGTCAATAGCCAGTACTCGCGCCTGTCCTAGAATTTGATGCGCTTTTTCAATGTAATCCTGTGCTTGCGCTTCTTGCTCAGTTGTTATTGAGTCTCCCAATGAGTCAACCGTAACTTCCGGCCGGTGTGAGAGAAGAACTTAGATATTTTGAGTTGTGCAATTTTGTTAATCTGCTCTAACAAAAACTTGTAAACTTCCTGTAGAATTCAGAAGTCTAGAGGGAAAGCTTGGCCGAGCTTTGATTTCCGGTGAATTCAGCGGATGCGAAAGTTTCATTAGCGATTTCATTTTTTTTCGTGCTGGCTTTAATCTAGCGAGAAGCCCAATTAGTCTTCAATCTGTAAAGAAATATTGCGAATCTATCATATCGTGTAGAAAGGCAGCGTTGTTCGTTATGTGAAACAGGGTCTGATTGACAATTTGAAGGTGAAAGTTTTGAAAACAAGTTACTCTGATACATATTGTTTTTCTCCTAGCGAGACTTTTCTTTGAATCATTTAGTTGCGAGTCACAAAAAAAATGCGATTTTGCATCAAAGTTCTTCCCTTTCGAGAAGTTAGGTTGATCCATAGATTAATGCGTTGTGGAATCTTACAAGGAAAGGATACTTGGTCGAAGTGGCGTTTCATTATGAAACGTATACTGTCTTATAAATCTTAGGACGCTGATTCCGAATCTGCTTTCCATATCTGCAAAGCGCTTCTGGGAGGGAAGTTATGGGAATTTCTTAGGGCAAAAATTCGAGCGCGCGGCTACCATAAAGGCAGTGTCCCACCAGACTGGGGGTATCTGGCTCCCGTAGTCATGTAATAGTAGACCCCCTACCTGATCGATGTCTGAAGTTCGGAGCGAAAAAGGGGGTCTACCAAGCCTAAAATTTGCTCCGAAAGTGGGCCGAATCTTACGGTAGGGCCGAACGCCGCCCACACAGCAATATCGATTGCAAGGCCAGAGTGCGTATAGCGCACACAGTCATGAGCGCAGGGACCCGCAATAACTCTGCGTCTCTACCTTGCATCCACCTCGTAATCGCCCGAGCCTACCGTAAGATTCGGCCCACTTTCGGAGCAAATTTTAGGCTTGGTAGACCCCCTTTTTCGCTCCGAACTTCAGACATCGATTAGGTAGGGGGCTACTATTACATGACTACGGGAGCCAGATACCCCCAGTTTGGTGGGACACTGCCTATAAAATCATTCAAAGTGCGGTCTATGAGCTCGAATGGGGCTATGATCACTACCAGGGCGTTTTATGCAATACTACCTTCAATCTGATAGGCTCTTGTCAGTCATTACCAGGGTAAAGCGGGGGGTGCGGCACGCCGCAGGGGGCGGGGGGGTCGTTAAGGGGAGGGGTAGGTAGAGGGGGGGGGGGTCGTATCGACCCAAGGTCAAAAGCACTTGTACAAGCTGTGTGACTAAATTGACTTGATGAAAGCGCTGTTGAAATCCTGCAAAATTCAAGTTCAACGACACAAACTTGCAGATACCGTATGCCTACCGTAACCTACCGTACCTCTAATCAAGCATAATTGTCGTAATCCGCGTGTCGAATAACCCCTATGCGCCAAGTTTCAGCGAACTCTGAGGTCTCCGAGCAGTAGACGACCTTGTATAAAGCAGTAATTTAAAACATGATTAACTTCATCTTAACGGTGAGTAAGCTACCTCTTCTTGCACTCAATACAAAGCACTACTCCTTCTTTGTCCACCTCAGGAATCCCGCTTCAGAAGACCTCCAAACTGTGGAATTAGAAGCCAACCAAAATCTCGTTTTTCCCATTTTTCGCTTTTGATCGCTGTGCTTTCACCAAATATTACTCAGAGCTAAGAAGACGAATCAGGCTCAAAACATCCCTATGGAATCTACGAGGTTTAGGCTATTGATTCATATAAATATTGTCCGCTAAAAATGTTTTTTTGATATAGTTAATGGCCTGCGGCACCCCCGCCCCTCAAAACCTGCGGCTGCCGCAGGTTTTGAGGGGGGGGGGGGGGGTGCCGCAGGCCATTAACTATATCAAAAAAACATTTTTAGCAGTATTTATATGGATCGATAGCCTAGATCACCTAGTTTTCACAGGAGTGATTTGAGCCTAATTCGTCTTCTCAGCTCTGAGTAATATTTGGTGAAAGCACAGCGATCAAAAGCGAAAAATGGGAAAAACGAGATTTTGGTTGGCTTCTAATTCCACAGTTTGGAGGTCTTCTGAAGCGGGATTCCTGAGGTGGACAAAGAAGGAGTAGTGCTTTGTCTCGAGTGCGAAAACGGATAGCTAATTCACCTTTGAAACAAAGTTGACCATATTGGAATTTGACCATTTCACTTAGGTAGCCTAGTATCTTGAATCTTCAGAATTCGCTCAAACTTTGTCTACAGGGGTTAATTGACATGCTCATTATGGATATGTTGCCCATTATGTTTGACAGGGCCTCCAAGTAATGCTATCTCAAGGGTATAGTCCAGGGTGGGGGTCTTATTAAGACAGCAATCAGGGGGGGGGGTCGTAACCAGCGATCGTGTGCCACACCCCTTGCTTGACCCTGGTCATTACTCCTTTCAAGCACCGCAAAGATCTCAACGCCTGTTTTTACCTTGACCAAACCATTGAATTTTTACCAATAAAAATTCCCATAACTTCCCTCCCACAAGCGCTTTGCAGATAAGAAAAGCAGATTTGGAATCAGTGTTCCATGCTTTATAAGACGGTATACATTTCATATGGAAACCCCACTTCGACCAAGTATCCTTCCCTTGTTAGAATATTAAAATGCCTGGCTCTTTATATATAGAATGACAACATGAGTTTTATTGTATTTGATAGGGAATAGTAGTAACTTCTTTGTAAGATTTTTCCCTCATTTTCAAATTACATGCGGATGTGGCTTTTCCACGTACACATGACACGCATTTTCATTTCCTGCGAAGTTTTCAAATTAGTTTTGGCAGAGTTCCAACTTGTGGTATGAGGTGCTCGAACTTCCATATTGCTTTTTGTAAAGGAACGAACTCCTCCAGTTTCAACTGCCTCCGCGGACTACTGGTCCTGCAACGACATGCAGCAATATTGCAAAAGGAGCAGTTACCAGTGAAGGAGGCTCAAACCGGCGGAGTTCGTTCCCCTACCCCTTTCTTGTCATACTAATGCTCCTTGTGTTTCATTGAAAATCCGAAAACATACCAAAGGAAAATTGGGAAAACATGGGAAAATTTCAAAAGAAAAAAGAAAAAAGTGAAGTTGAGGTGCCGTCACAAAATTACTTCCTGTTGCATTCGAACCGTCTGAACCTTTCTTAACCCATTGACGACGATGTGGACCACCGGTGGCCTACGCGCTTTTTGCTGCCAGGGACGATGTGGACCCCCGGTGGCCCACACCTCTCGCAAAGTCGTATTATTTGCAGGTCTAGTATTTTTTCCACATATGAGTATTTTTTCCAATTTTTTGTATTCTTAGGACCTATTGGCTCTGTCGTTCAAAAAAATGTTAATAGTTGTTTAATAACAATGTTGCATTTCGTAAATAAGCACGAAGCCTTCCCACACTGGAAGTGTTGTGCAAAATCGCGTCGTCCCACAGCGCCGCCGCACAAAATTAGGCGTCGTCGTCAATGGGTTAAAAACTGCCAAACTCGTTATTTCTTCTTGCTCAATGAACTCTACTGCTATTGTTTACGAGATCACGGAAATGGCTTGTTAACGCATGTCAAGAATTCATTTTCATGCCAAAAATCAATAAATCAATCGTGGAGCCGTTCTTTTTTTTGAACAATGTCTATTCAGAAATCAAAAACTTGATCTATGTAATCACAAGTGACCGTAAAGTATGCTTCAGCAGGACGATCAGTTAATCTGGCAGCGCAATTAGGTACTTCATTTGACATGTTGCAGGAAAATCAACTCGGCGTGCGCAGCCCTACAATGGGAATCCACTGTTAAACTTTCTATTCTACTCTCATTCTGCGAGGCTTTTTCATCACCTCTCCGAAACTACTGCTGTTTCGAGCATCGCTGATGCCACTCAGATTTCCGTCGAACATGACGCTAAGTGACACCTGCTTACTAGTTGTACAATGAAGCAGGCACTCGGTTTGTCTGGCCTACCTAAGCCTGCAAAACCATTATCGGCACTCTCGTAAAATGCGGGGCCGAGATTTTGAATGAAGGGAATTTGGCGCCATTGTTGAACTCCGTAGAAAGGCATAGCGGTAACATGGTAAAGACTGCATAGGTCATAGAAAATTGTAGGTTTCAAAAGGAGTGTAAAAGTTTGAATCAAACGCTACCTGATTCTTTGTCGCTCATCGTTGTATGAGTTTTGGTGAGCTACCAACAACGCAGGAAAAACTTTCGGGATAACCTATTTGAAGCCAGCTCTACAGATTAAAATTTGCTAGGCAAGAAGCACAAGGAATGCACTATTGAGCGGATTCTTTATTGTTTAGAAGATGTATACATTTGCTATTTTGAGCAAACATTGCGATATCTTTGACCCAAATTATTATGACATCGAAAAAGGGAAATATTCAAATATCTGTGTTTATTACCCTATTTTCAGGTGTATAAGCCGCACTTTTTCAAATTTTCGCCCGGCTGCTGAGCAGCTTCGTTGTGTTTCGAGAAGAAATCCTTAAGCTGCACGATTATTTCAGGCAATACGCAGCACGGTATAGGGTCCTTTGGTTGCGAGGTCCTTTAATGTGTTCGGGCTGGTCGATGTAAGCTAGGACCACCCCGCGGCTTATACACCTGAAAATAGGGTACTAGAGAAGTTAATGATGTATAAGCTAATAAATTAGAGCACGATAAATGATTTCAAAGATATGCATACATGTTGACATAAATCTGATCGACACCTATCACATAGCAGCTCGTTCTTTGCTGATTGTTCCCATCTTCCTCAGCGATGGCATACTGTATCAGGAAAGCATCTTTTCCTGGAGGTCCCTTCTGGAGCAGCCAATTGAAAACTGTGAAGATGAGTGTGTGCTTACCGTACGGGTGATCTTTATATCTTTTGACTCTCCTGCGTTTATCCGTCCTTCCTTTTTTCCAAAGTGATAGTTTTGCTTGTTGAGACATACGATGCTGTAGGCGAGGTTGGTTTGGCTTGGATTAGTAAGATGCACCAACGCAGTGCCTCCGTTTGCATTGAAAATAACCGTTGTAGGAGAAACTATAAGAGCCATGCACGAGTGCTTCTTGTAAGAAATGAAATGTACTCCGCACTAGTGCGTCATCTTTGCTTCGTAGAGGCTCGCACTGACCCTACTAACTGTATACATACCTTACTCATGCTCGTATAATAATGGTTTTGAAACTCACCGCGCAATGTTGACCATCATGAATGAATTTTAACTAACAATTCATTCCAAAAGTTTTTCACGTCAAATCGGTAACTTTGGGAGAAAGAGTAACTTTGGGAGAAAGAAATCTTTCTGCAGAAGATCAAATGCAAATTCAAATCAGTTATAGGACTCATAACGGCTTCATAGGCGCCATAAAAGATTATTGCAAGCTGAATCTTTGTGCAAGAACCTTCCCAGTTTCTTGAAACTGACCCTTTCTGACGATATGGATATACTTTTCAGTTACTTTTGGGCTGAAATCGATGGCTTAGCATATATAGATTCGCTTATCCTTGTGCATGGTGAACTTACATGTTGAGAGCATGCGTTATGCAAAAAATCACCTTGAGACTTTGGCTGTATTTCCTCAGTGAATTTCGTGAAGAAAGTGATTCAGGCGAAAAAACATAAGCAGCCCTTAGCCCAATAACATAATGAGATTGCTATTGGTTGGAGGAACAATTTAGTCGCAACAATTGTTTGAAATCCTTCTGTTCTATTGTGAATTTCTTCAACACGCCAAATCATACATAAGTAATAGAATGTCCGGAAGATAACGTCGTATCATGTCTTATCCTCCTATAATAACGCGCTAACTCTGTTTTTGTAAGTATGCCTGTCTGTCACACAATTCGGACAGCGAATAACAGCCCGGCTTTAAAATTTGTGCGTCAAGCGGATCCAAGCTTCTTTTGGCCCCCGACCGAGTTCGTATGTAGACATTTTTCAATGCCATAGTGTCTAGCATTTAAAGCTGCGAGCAATGTTTTTAGCCCAGAAAAAGACCGGCGTCTTTTTTGTTACAAAATTTTCGTCAAAAAGGATTGATTGCGCAGATCGTCAGTTTGCCAAGGCTTCACTTGAAAAATTCAGAATAGTTTTGTTCGCGATGCAGCCAATGGTAGTTATCGGTTCTACGGTGATTACCGAGCCAAAGGAAACCCAGTACCTAACTTGAATTCAAATGAGAACGGCGAAAAGGTTTACTGACGGAGGAGAAGAGTCAGCAGTTGAACGGGGCCGTCTACCCTGCGAAGCCACTTTCCCAACTTCAAGCGCGATCTTTTCGCTTCCTCTAGTCGCACTAACATCGACACCGGCCAAGTGCAAAGCGTGACTTGGTATTGGGAAGCGAGAAGTGGCTCGTAAAGCTGGGAGAGTGGCTTCACAGGGTAGACGGCCCCTCTCATCTGCGTTTTAGAGACATTTTTTCGCCGCTTTTGCATTCTAGTGTGGATTTTCGGATTAAATAGCGGATAGACCCAGGTCAAAATCTCAAAATCAATTTAGTGTCCGCACACTGCAAAGTTTATCTATTGAGACCTTGATATTGTTAAGAGGAATAACCGGCGTGAAAGGGTTGCCAGCTAACGCAAAACATTCCAAAACCAAATCCCTTTCTTGATTTCCTTTTTCTCAAGCCTATCGTGCTACAGTTTATATTAGCTCATAATTTGCAGACTACGATAAACTGTTTTGCCCATATAGCCTTCTATATCTGCTGCTCAAGGCTCAAATGCACCATCCAGGTACCTCCCAGAAGCTTATTTGCTCGTGGTTGTATCATACTGTAGGCTTTCATGTGGGAATCTATCACGGATCGTTGTGTCCTTACCCAATAGTACGCATTAATATAGATGTCCGCCATTTACAATAGGGGGGGGGTGTTCGAAGACGTATTAGATTGTCCTGAAATTAGCTTTTTGACGACACGATCGCAGCATTGTAGATATAAAAATGGAGAAGGCATATCACAAGATAGAGCGAAGCAAGCTATACAAGGGTGCCTTTGAAAGATCGCAGGAAGTCAGATCCGCCTGACTGAAAGCAAAATCCAAAAAAATTCAATAGCCCAACAACCAAATTTTCGTTGAAAAAGATGCTGCGGACCTCCAACTTCAGGCATTACTCCTTACATCAGCCATTTATAAGTACATGAATGCTGATGGAAATTTGAAAATGGGCCAAAAATGCGAATCTATCACCTTTTTCGGGTTTTCATGTCGGATTCAATATTTCTTAGAAAATCTTTGAAGAAAGCTGAAAATTAATGGTTACACTACCAAAGGTTTGCGATATATTAGTTTGTTACATAAGTCTTGTTACACTTTTATTTCTTACGACGATAAGTCGTCAACTTCATAATCTTAATGAGGCCCCAGGGTATCATTCGATAGAGCAAAGCAAGCTCTACAAGATAGTTGGCAAAAGCACCAGCTCCGACCAACCGTAAGTTTGCATTCGGAACTTGGGTCGCACTGAAGGCTCAGAAATGAGGAAGAATCAGGGCCCGGCACGAGGTGGGCAAATGACAAGCTGGAAATCGTTTTGGGGCCAAAAAGCAAAGGGGATATCGTTTCTGCGGGATCCGGGGCGGAGCCCCGGAAGAAGATTCCAAGTGCAAGCAAATGAAGGTCGAATCATGCTCACCTTATACATCTAGTTCATCGGAAAATAGTTTTCATAAACCTCAACGCACGTCGCGCGCACTACGCCGCGTTGCCGCTAATTGCCGCGTGCGCGACGTCGCATGAGCGATCCGTTGAACAGCATGATTACATGATCAGTTCTCAATGCAGGCGTAATGATATAGCACCAAATTACGTAAGGAACAAAGAGAGGCTAGTAGAAACAAAGCTTGAAATGTTATGAAAAACTTATGTGAGTGGGAGGTGTAATAAGCATTTTTTCCAAAAAATTCGCAAAACTGGTAAATGAAGATGTGAATCCAAATGGCTCGTTTGCAGCGCACAGATGACCATACGGTATGAAACTTGGTAGTTACATGAACACGGGCCTGCAGGGCTTATCTTAGAAGTTTTATTGAAAAATTATGTGAATAAAGGTTGTGGCAAGCTTTTTTCTGAAAATTTCCCACTATCAAGAAAATGGAAAAATGGCTCGTTTGCAGCGCAGAGAAAACGAAATCGCGCGAGACTTGGTGTGCATACGCGCAGTAGGACTAAGGAACGATGTATGAAAAATTATGAAAAACTTATGTGAATGAAGAGAGTGCTTAACTTTTTTCCAAATTAGGTGGGCAATTGCCCACCTAATGCCCACCTGAGGTGGGCAAAACTTTCAATTCACATAATTTTTTCAAAATTTTTACATAAATCCGTTGTTCACCTAAAGTTTACTATATGGTGAGATTTTGGTTCCGAAATCCCTCCTCTTGTCTTTGTTAGAGCCCAAAATCGCATCAGCAGCCTAGCTTTCTAAGATGGAAAGCACGCCCCAGTCAATCGATACGCGCGGGAACGGCGTCTCTCAGCCCTATGACTGCGTTCCTTTGATATTTTTTCATTCCTTCATCATTTTCCTTGCTTATTCTTCTTCCTGTTTTCTATCTTGATACAGGTGAGGCGTAATTAGAGGAATTTGAGCATTTTGGGCGCTTTTGAGCGCTTTTAGGCGAAATGTGGCCGGTGCTCTCGTTCCACAAGCACAAAGCGTCATTTTTGAGCTCAAGGGGGTATTCGTAAAAACTATTGGGGTCAAAGGGGAATTCGTTTTGGAAAATCCCGTCTGCCCACCTCGTGCCGGGCCCTGGGAAGAATTCATATCTTTGCCCAAAAAAGTACTCCGCATTTCCAACTTGTTCACGCAGATTGCACAGCACATCACACACTTATATGTGCCGTTGCTGTATTTTTTCGTCAGCTAAAAATCGAGAGAACGAGAATTTTTTTGTTAGAAAAACTAAGCTATGCTGTTTCTATTCAAGCAATCGTTTACCACGAGCCCTTAAAGGCAGTGGTTCGGCAAAACTCAACAACTCAAAATTTTAACGCGGTAGGCTTCTTATCGCCCAACTATGAAAACAGTGCAATTCCGGTTGCACAGCATGCTTTCCTTGCCGAGAAAATTGCTCTCAAACTTACACGCGCAGGCCAATCTTACACGCGTCCGGACGAGTTAGCAATTTCCTTCCCACCATTGGAGGCTGCCCGCCGCAGTGCTATAACCACTGGGTCCTGCAACGATTCGTCGCATCAGCCTTGCTCCACTCGTCCAATTCCAAAGGGAAGGGCATTGAAAACGCTCGTTTTCGGCATTTTCAAGCTCTCAAAAGTGGACTTTCGGGATCAGCATATTGGATAACCCCAGGTAAGCGAAAATTTGGCTATGTTGAGATTTGCCGAGCCACTGCCTTTAAGAGTATAACCGTAAATTTTCAGCTTTCCCCAAGCTCTGATTTTCGAAATATTCCGACTTTATCATTGAACACCCGAGTGAAAAAAGCTAAATTCGGCATTTTTCGAAAACTAGAGCTTCTGGAAAGCTGAAAATTTACGGTTATAGTTATAATGGCTTGTAGTATAGAGCTACATGAATAGGAACAGCACAGCTCCGTTTTTGTGAAAACAAGAAAATTTTCGTTCTCTCAATTTCTAGACGAGGAAAAAATACAGCAGCGATACAGATGAGTGTGTGATGTGCTGTGCAATCTGCGTGAACAAGTTGGAAATGCAGAGGATTCTTTTGAATGAAAATATGAATTTTTCCTCATTTTTGAGCCTTCAGTGCGACTTAAATTCCGGATGCAAACTTACGGTGGGTCGGAGCTGATGCAAACTTTTGCACACTGTCTTGTAGAGCTTGCTTTGCTCTATCAAATGGTACCCTGTAGCCCTATCAAAATTATGAAGTTCACGACTTATCGTCATAAGAAATAAAAGTGTAACAAGACTTATGTAACAACCTAATAGAATACCCATTCTTGCATTTGCTAGAGCACGCCAACTTTTATTTTCACAGCTTTTGACCGTGTAAAAATACCGCAACTTTACTTAGTGGATCAAATTTTTGCGACCTTTCAAAACAGTTCCATAGACTTGCTTTGCTCTATCGAATGGTATGTACTCCTGCAACCGCATAAGGAACCTGCATTAGTTCCCGGGCAACCTAATACAGTGCTGGCCAAAACTATAATTCCACCCTGAAAACTGCCGTAACTCATCTGCTTCTCAACGAATTGATCGGAAATTTGGTACAGTTGTGTGTTTAACAGGCTATCATCAGTAACCAGAACGGATCCCGTTCTTGTCTGATTATTCAGAAAAAAATCAAAAATTTCGAAGAAAGCAGGCTTGAAGGTTGGCCAAAAGCATAATTCCACCCAAGGTTTCTGTCCAGTAAAGTAATTCTCAGCTTCCAAAGTATTTTGTGCATACACATAAACAAAAGTCAAAACAGTCGCTTCATTTCAGCTGTGTTATACTTTTATAAGAAACATTTATCTGCTTTTTTTGCTTAAAAATACTTTCATGCGTATCTCGTTCCCAAGAATGTTTTTATGGGTAGTCTCGCAGTTTTTTTGACTGGTTTGGAAACGATAGGGACTCCACCTATCCTATAGATGCTTAGCGAAGTGAGAATTAGAAAAAAATTGGAGTTTTCATATTTAAAGCGCACCAGACATAGACCTTACAGCAAGCCTGCGCTCAAATTTTTGCCTCCAAAATTGGTTTATGTTGTTTTTGTAAGCTCAAAATGATGTAAAGCATCATTTACATAGAAAGAAGCTTGTACACTATACTTGCGATTGTTGGCCAAGTCACATTTTGCTTCGTTTTCAAAGCATAAATCTTCGCGGTTCAATGATAATATTTAGGCAATCCCAAAATACTTACCACGTGGTACCTTTCCTGATTTTTCGCCACTATTTAGCTTCTGGATAACGAAAACACTCTGTATTGTATGTCACATTGCGACTCACGTGAGCCAATCAGAACCAAAAATAAGTTTAAGGCTTTTTGCAAATCAGTTTTTGCAGGTTGAATTCCTCGTTTAGCCTGCATGCTAGGACCTGCGGAAATCTGCAACCACTGCATCCGGACTCTCATACGTACAACAATGTTACTACTCAATTTCACGCTCATAAGAAAATTGCAGAAAGAGTTTGAAGGCAAAAATTTGAGCGCAGGCCTGCGCTTAGGTCTATGTCGGGTGCCCTTTATTTTTCTAGTTCTCACTTCGCTATGCATCTATAAGATAGATGGAGTTCTATCGCTTCCAAACCAGTCAAAAAACTGCGAAATTACCCATAAAAACACATTCTCGAGAACAAAATGCGCATGAATGTATTTTTGAATGAAAAAAGCAGATAAGCGTTTCTTATAAGGGTATGACACAGCTGGACTAAAGCGACTGTTTTGACTTTTGACTATGTATATGCACAAAAAAACTTTGGAAGCTGAGAATTACTTTAGTGGACAGAAACCTTAGGTGGAATTATAGTTTTGGCCAACCTTCACACCTGCTTTTTTCGAAATTTTTGATTCTTCCCTGAATAATCAAACAAAACTGGGATCCGTCTGGGTCACTGATGGTGGCCTGTTAAACACACAGCTGTACCAAATTTCAGATCAATTCGTTGAGAAGCGAGCCACGGCAATTTTCAGGGTGGACGTATAGTCTTGGCCAGCACTGTATTAAACTCAATTAAAGTGCAACATTTGAGCTGCCACTACAGCAATGTCGTAGTCAGGCCCCAATCAGTTTCCAGGAGCGACCTCCTAGCGCTCAAATCGCCTGGCGCGTCCTATGGCGGAGATATTGTAAGCCCATCCAATACACATTTTGTAGCAGGAATGAAAACATGTAAGCCACTCTTTGGCAGATATGTGAGGACAAAGTTGTGATGCTTCCTTTAATCAGTTGACTAGGATTTTGATAGTGCCATGAGGAAATTGTATCAAACAATTTCTTGTGTACTAGAATCTACTGCTATCTCTACTCTTATGCTTGATAAAAGTGAGGAAGACAAAATGGAATTATTATTCTTACAAAGGAACGTTCCCAAGTCGAGGTAGCGGAGTGGAAGATGAACTGATTCCAGACTTATCTTCCATACCTGCAATGCGGTCCTTTGAAAGAAGTTATAGCGGTTGTAATTGTGAAGTCATTGGGGTTTTGATGTATATTCTATCCTACTTTAATAACGCGCTAAGGCCGTCTGTTTTTTTGTGTGTGTGTCTGTGTGAAAATCTGCCTGTCACGAAATTCATAGAGGAAGCTGCAACCAAGCTATCGGGCTGCAATTTTGCATAACATACCGTGCCAGCGTGTAGGCCCACCATGCACAAGGACGAGCCGGTTCGATAAGCGGGTCCCTCAAAATCTGCGCGTCAAACGGGTCCACGCGCCTTTTGGCCCCCAAAACTGGGTCGCTAATTCGACTTTTTGCAAAGTTATGATTTGCCTGACAAGTAAGTCTGCGCGCCATGAATTCTAGCCCAAAAAGTGCTCAAAAAGTTTTTTTTTTGCGAAAACAGCGCCAAAAAGTGATGAACGCGTAGATAGTCGATTTGGCAAGGTTTTATTTTAAAAAAATTGAAAAGATTTTTGCACTGAAATGTAGCCCAAGGTGACTACTATCCTTATGACGACTATCAAACTAAAAAAAAAATTCAGTAATCCGTTCAAATTCGCATTTGTTTCCTTACAACAAAGTTTTTTTTTCTCAAAATTACCGATCTTACATGGAGATGCTTCATGAATGAACAGTTGTTTACAATTCATTTGTGATGTTCAGCATCGCATGGTGAGTTTCAAAACCATTCTTATGCGAACATGAGAAAGGAATACGGATAGGGAGCCAGTGCGAACCTCCGCGAAGCGGAGGTGACGCATTGGTATATAAATAAAACCGAAACTCTGTAAATTTGTTCGTTAGTAAGTACGTGGGTTATAGACTCTTTTGTGTGTGGACAGATGGGGATAAAATTCGTCCACCTATAAATAAGGCATTTTTGCGACGATTTGTTGGGCCCTTCAATTGGTTTATTGATTTGTTTATTACATCGAGGGTTCACCAACCATTGTTGAATCATTTTCCATAGTCATGCAAGTTGGGACGTAAAGTTCATTTACATTTCTCGGCGAAAAGGATCCGGTGTTTCAAGTCAGCAAGTCATCACATTTTGTCGCAGCATGGAGAAGGGCGGTATGTTTCAACGCTTTTGAAATCAAGTAGCCCAACCCCGGGCCTGACCGGGGGAGGTCATCTAGTGAACTTTAAAATCCAACTTGGGAGTGTATCTAGATCATACCAGCGTTGATTCAAGGAATGGTCACATTTACCGGAAATGAATGGATGTTTTTGATTAACCATTCTGAAAGGTTTGGGGCTAAATGCTTGCCATCTGAACTTTTCAACGCTCATTTTTTTCCAAAAACCGCGTGCTACGCAGATATGGAATGTAGATTTGGAATTAGCTTATCAAGACGAATACAACGATATGCGTTTCACTCCAGTCCGTCACCTCGACTTGGGATCATTCCCTTGTTTGTTCGCACTTACCTAATATAGTGGAACAAGTCAAAAAGTATTAAAAATTATGCATGATCAACATCATTTTGTGGTCAGAAATACCAATAATTTTACTAAGCTGACATTAACATCATTTGAAAGGAAACAGAATGTTGTAAATGACAGGGTTGTTGACGACATTCAGCTCCCACAACAAGTACATAAGTTTGTCATAACATCTCTTCCTTCCTGATGAGCTCTTTGACACCGTCGTACATTTGCTTCACAGCTTGATACTCAGATATGCCAAGACGACCCTGCAATGAAAGTTTGAATATCCTCACAAGAGGTCTCAACAACTCTAGAGCTGTGTCTGCACCTTATTTGATATGTCGTAGACTCCCGATATCGGTTCTGAATGTTCTCCATGTACTCCTCGAAGTTGCAAATTTAACCTATTGCACATAACCTGATATCTTGAAGTCAATCAATGATTGAAAACTGAAGTATAATTGCTTACCATGAAATTGCTCATGTTCGCTGTAAGTTTCGGCAGTTTTATATGAACGGATGCACGGACCGTGGATCCTAAGTTTGTCGGACAGAATGTCAACCACCCAAGACGCTCATCACGCGCAAATTGCACATGTTTCTCAATGTGCTTAACAAGAAACTTATCACTGCATATTAGTGGATTAGCACCGCAACACCATAAAACTCGTTGTGCTACAATGATTTACAAAATGACACTCTTTCTTTGAGTTAAGAATTGCTTGGTTGAGGTATTTTTGGCAAGAAGTATTGTAGAAAAAAATTCTTGTTCTTTTCTTGATGAGGCGAATGCTAATCCGGGTGACAAATTTGCCTACATAGTTCATCCTAAGCGTCGTTAGGACGGGCTCGAGAACTCGCAGGAGAAAAGTCCCATTTAAAGGGTCCTGGCAAAGAGCCGATTTTGAGATTTTGTGCTTATCCGGGCTTATTCGATGGATGCAATCCGAAAATCCACACTGGAGACCGCAAAAAGGGAGAAAGGGCTCTAACGCACGAGGGAAATCAGCAAGTGGGCGGGTCTTTCCCACTGTGAATTTATGCTCCCAGATTCCGAAAAGATCTTCCCAGTCTTCAGATTCTAATCCTCTTCTCAGTGAAATGATATCCCTCAGAAACGAAATACAGTTCGCTGTGAATATATTTCAGTGATATTCAGTGCTAAAATTTGAATAATATTTGGATTAGGAAGGCTTACTTTGACACCCCTGTTTAACCTGTCCAGCACCTGCCCTACGTTGCTACCCTTTTGCATAGAGATGATGCGCACATGATCTTCCTCGTTCACCCAAATCAGGAATGTTTTTTCATCATTGTAATATATTCCTCGCCCCTGCAAGTGCAATAGTGAAGCAATTATGGTTTGTGGACATAACTCGAGGAACATGATTACGGCCCGGCACAAGGATGAAAAGTGGACACTTAAATTGAAATTGCCCTTTTCACTAAGTTTCAAAGGCACCGTCCACCCAAAATGGGGTCGTTGAGATATTGATGGCTGATAGTAGCGGGGCCCCCCACTGTACATCTGCCCGACTCGCGCTGCCAAAAGTTGCATCCAAAGCAAAAAAAATTGCTTCAAATCTCTCAGATGACAGATTCGCTACGTTGGCTCCTTCCCTTTATGTGGGCGTGGCGTTCGTCCCGCCCATCCGTGCGCACCCAACCAATCACCGTTCCGGAGAACTCGCCATGCAAGTTCTGAGAACTGGGATTTTCGGGGTTTTTACGGATTCTCGACTTGATATTTGAAATCAGGAATACGAGAAGGCCATGGAACGGCAATAACATGGAAGCCGAGAATTGGGTGGACGGTGCCTTTAAGCGCCTCCCTCCGCAAAGATCGGCGTATCGTTGCTAATTGGAATCTAACAAAGAGGAGAGAAGTTTTTAATCAACATGCTACTATCAATAAAGTCTAAGGGTAGAACAGATTTTTGTTAAAAAGAACACTAAAAAATTATGTAAACTGATGATTTTGCCACTTTCAGAGGGCAATTACCACATTGAATTGGAAAGTTGGACACGCTTCTCATTGTCCTCACATAATTCGTACTTTGTTCTTATCCCCCACTGCGCATATATACATATCTGCAGTGATAACTTCAAGTGTGAGCAAACGAGTAATTTTTTTGGATTTTCAGTAGATAGGTTTTTTTAGCAAAAAGCCTTCCACGCACTCATCACATAATTTCTCCCCGAGTTAGTTCCTACTGGCCCTTACTCGCTTAGATACAAAATTTGGTGTCATATCGTTATGACACCAAATTTTGTATCTGTACGCTGACAAGTAAATTGTTCCTTATTTTGTGAAAAATCGGCTTTCCAAAAGCGCGCCTTGAGCAAGGTCGTAAGCAGGACCCGGCACGCGTTGGTTTGGAGCATTTTTGGAAACGAAGTCCCCATTGACTTCGCGAAAATTTACGAAGTCCCTCTTAACGTAAAAGTCAGTAGAGAAACCTTATTCAATCAAAATAACAATAAAAGAGCGAAAAAAGCGCATTTGAGGTACCTAATATAACAAAAAAAGGCAAAAAGATAACATTTCGAGTTGATTGAAGGCTCTGTCATTGGGTAGGATACCATTTCAGTGCCCACAATGTCGAGAACCTCCTAGGCCAACCAAATCTGTGGCCCCAACGATCTGGAGGTGCATTTTTCACCACACAGTTCAAAGGTCACCGCGTGAGATTGGAGCGCAATATCTATCAACACATAATTTTACACTACTTTTGGCTCAAAAAAAGGGGACAAGCAATAGTTTGATTCGCTCTCTCACAAAATGATAGATTTTTGACCGCTCTAATCGTCCAAATCAAAAGAGCCAAAACTTATGTGAACTCTCCGAAATATATGCTCTGAACCAACCCAGTTGGTTTAGTGTTGGTCTAGAAACGAACAAATTCGGGAGCGGATGTTAGGACACATAAGTTTTGTGAAGTTTTTACATAACATAGTTTGGAGTAATATTGTTTACACATAGCCCAGATTTGGAGCCATGTGATTGTTTGTGCGCTGTAAACAAGCCGTTTGTTTGTTTGAGTCTTGCGTTTGAGAATCGCGCGCTTACGAATGAACACGTTCAACTCGTATAACCTAACATGTTCGTCGTTCTTCTATCGGCGCTTCCCCCAGGATCTTATAAAAACGATATCCCCGTTGCTTCTAACTTCCAAAGCGAAGTCCAGTTTGACCACAGACCATCTGTGCTGGGCCCTGGTCGTAAGCGGTCAGTCGTATAAAAGCATTCGTCACGGCTCGGGAAATCAGGGTAGGTGCATGTGAGCGTCTATATTCACGACATCCCTTTGCTTTTCCTCCAAACGAGATCCAGCTTGACATTTGCCACCTTTGTCCCGGACATTAAGCGTGGTGGAGGAAAGAAATACAAGAAGAGCAAAAGCAATATCTTAGGCCAGAATCTATATGCGTTTGCAGCATGAAGGTGACGATCATCTTCCTTGAAAAGAAAGTGATTATCTATCAGTTGTTTCTGAGTGCGCTGCGTCATCCCGTTCAACGGATAGTATTTGCCCTTCAGCTCGTTGTCTTCGAATGTTTCAAAGGCTCTTTTCAGCTTTTCTTCTATTTCCAAATAACTTTTCTGTAAAGATGAACCATACTTCCAAAATTAAAGCATCCAAGTTCTTAATTCTAACCTCGGATAAAAGAGGATTGAAAGGATATCCAACCACCGCCCTTCCGCAACGGATGCGAGTTGATCTGATATACTTGGCTCCTGGATCAAGAGGAGGAAACTCATGAATCTTCCCTTCTCCCAAGTCAACAGATGGTTGCTTTTGTCCAAGACTGAATCCGTGATACTCTCGGATGATTCTGTCAAACAGTGGGGCAAATGTCTGAGAACATTTTCAAATTCCAAATGACAAGGTCACATTCTCGTACCTTATATGCTTCAGCATCTGGAGCATAAACGCCAACAGCGGCGTCTAGGTTGTACACGCCTGATTAATAGCTCTATATTACAAGAATTTTGTATATGTTTCAACGTGAGTCATGATTGCATTGATTGTTTCTTTTTTATATCAAGGCTAACCTGAGCGAATGCAGTCATACAAAGTTGCTCCCAACTTGGTTTTCTTGTACTTAAGCTCTTCCAACACATCCTTTGTGAGAAACTAAAATTAACTGATTTCAAATTTTGAGAACTGGGGTTATTGAGATGTTTGTTTTTGACAATTTCTAGTTAAGAAATGGAATCTCCATAGCTGGGATTATATTTCTCATATTCACCAATGAGTGCGCAAATAGTGCTGTCTCTGTAGAATATTCTTCCCATCAAATCTGAGTTAGAAATATCTTGTCACTTCTCATAAAAATCCCTCAAATACCAGCAGTTTTGTGCTGCAATCCCTTCAGTTTATATCATTTTCAACCATATAACTTTTTAAGGGCAAATACAGAAAAATTCCCATGTTTTCAGCAAGGACTGAAGAAAACCGTCATTTTGAAAAGAGTAGTGACGACTACGAAATGTCTCCACACTTTATTTTGTTTGTGATCAAGAAATTCAAAGGATTGGTTTATTTGAACATCAAGTCAAAGCTAATCACCTTTTTCAAGAGGGAGTGACACTTAACTCCCTGAGGTCCATTGAGTCGAGCATATGCTTCTTCTATCTTGCGAACAGTAGCAAAATCAACTCCATCGCTGCTTTCCAATAATGAGGTGGCCTACGTAATCAATGATTTCATGAAGCAAGCATATCACACAAGGCTCATAAAGACTGGAGAAACCCACCTGGGGACACATTGTGTAAAGCGTTATCACACCTCCCAACGTAAAGAGAATCCCTCCAGCAAGTTTTGCACCTCGTTTTCTGAGCACGATGAACATTCTATAAAACCACCAACTATCATCTCTGCTGATGGAACTAAAATTGGTGTGACATGTAAGTAAAAAGATCAAGGTGTGACGAACCGCGATCATTTGTTACTATCAATGGAAACATAGAATGAAAGAGGCTTCTAGAAAGAAAAGTAATTTTCCTTTGAGACGCTGTATCGATTAGTCTTCCGAGAAATATATGGTAGCTGGTCTATCACATATCAATTAATCAAGAAGTCAAAGATCGAGATCGCGACATCACGAACAGATGCACCAACTATGGAGCAGAGTGAAGCCGACTCACTCTTTGCTCAAGCCAAAAATGGAATTATCGCGAAATATTCACTGTATATTTAATTCACTGTATTTATTCGCTGAAGATGTAGGCATTTTCTTAATAACGGTATATATGTGGAACAAGTTTGAATCTTATATATAAAGCTGAATGTCTGTTTGTCTGTCTGTCTGTATGTATGTCTGTCTGTGTGTACGTATGTTCCGAATAGAAAATTAAATTTCTGATCCGATCCGGACCAAACTTGGCACACATACACTTCGGGCCCCGGCGGGTGTCATAGGCTACTTTTCGTCATCGATCGATATCGATTTTATCGGTTTTTATCGATTTTTTTGCTGAGTTCACCTACGGGGCTGGGAGTTGGCACAGGGGACTAATCAAGCATGGGAATTCCGAATACAATATTAGTTTTCAGAATTATCTATTACTTTTATCGATTTTATCGATTTTTTGCTGAGTTCACCTACGGGGCTGGGAGTTGGCACAGGGGACTAATCAAGCATGGGAATTCCGAATACAATATTAGTTTTCAGAATTATCTATTACTTTTATCGATTTTATCGATTTTTTTGCTGAGTTCACCTACGGGGCTGGGAGTTGGCACAGGGGACTAATCAAGCATGGGAATTCCGAATACAATATTAGTTTTCAGAATTATCTATTACTTTTATCGATTTTATCGATTTTTTTTGTAAAGTTTGACTTGCGGGGCTGGGAGTTTGCACAGGGGGGTAATCGAGCATGCTGGTTACGAATACAATATTAGTTTTCAACATCATCCATTACTTTTATCGATTTTATCGATTTTTTGCAAAGTTTAACCTAGAGGGCTGGGAGTTGGCACAGGAGGTAGGTGAGCATGCTGAGATAACGGGGATAGGGAATTTGCATGGAGAAGTAGCACAGGGAAGGATTCTGCACGGATAAAGATGGAATCTTTATCATAGTTTTCACTGAACCGGGCGGAGCCCGGTAAGCAAGCTAGTATTCTATATGTCCTAGTCCAATTCATGGCATGTTATGTTTTTATTTAACGAGTTCGCAGATTTAGTCAATCAATGCCTCAATTCTGCTTGACGCAGTTTCGCGCTGGCTCTACTAAATATATGCTCACATAATGGCGGCTTCGAATATCACCGCGCAATGCTGAACATCACAAATGAATTGTAAACAACTGCTTTTGCATTTTTTCCTCGTCCCTTCCCAGTTGCTGCTACCCTTGTTCTGCGTCTCTGATTGCGACAGGCGTGGCCAATATCTTGGCCACATGGACCAACATGTTGGCCCTAAGGCTGGTAGCCAAAATTCTGCGAACATGTTGTTGCATATTGGAAACACGTTGTTGCACGTTGCTAACACGTTGAAACGTGCGCAGATGAGAGACACAGGTCAAGTGCATCAGCAACTGTGGAAAGGACATCAAGGACGGTAATTTACAAGAAGAAACTTCTCTGCAGAAGAACATATGCGAGCTTAAATAAGTTACTGAGTTTGTTTCGGCTTGATAATCCCCCTAACAATAACAATCACCCTGGACTATGTTTCTGAGCAAAAATCAAATTTTCAAATTTTCATGTAAGTCCTTGACAAATCGACTATGCACGCCATTATTTTTGGCGATGTTTTCATAGAAATACAAACTTCTTGAGCACGCTAAAGCCGCGTGCACCCGCTTGACGCACGTTCGAATCCGCTTATAGGCCTGCTTGTCCTTGTGCATGGTAGACCTACATGCTAGTACTATGTCATGCAAAATTGTAGCTCGACAGCTTGGCAACAGCTCCTATGATACACGCGAAGACGACAGACGTCTTAACGCTTTTATCAAGTACCCTATTTTCCGGCGTATAAGCCGCAATTCTTTTCACCGCGCGCGGGCTGAAATGCAATGTCGTTCGCGATGCGCGACGGCGCACAAGCAGCAACTACTATCTATCTCTCCTGATAATATAATACGAGCTTTCTGCTTTCGTTCTTTATTTGGTATCTTCGCAAGTGTATTTGTCTGTAACAAAATTCTCTATCTTCTCATTTATTATTCAAATCCGCTGAACAATAAAAGAACGTCCAAATGTAGTCACATGAAACATGTCCTATACAACTGTATAGGACTTCCTCCCACTTGTGGCACCAAAATTAGCACACACGCTTCTAAAGGAGTAAAAAAGTGCCTGAAGACATGACTGTCCATGCTAGAACGCACCCATTATTCAACTTGCTAGATAGCTCTTTTCAAAGGCGCTTTCGCGCCATTGTGCTGCGGCGGGTGCGGCTTATAAGTCGGAAAATAGGGTAATAAATTTTTTGCAGTAGCACTCCAACATTCAAATCAGACCAGAGATCTCGTTCATCAAAAGACCTTGAATCGGAATATACAAGTTGACCTATCTCAACCAGCAAGCGATTCTGACATACGACATATGACGTGGGACATGTCAAGTGGCATCGGGAGGATAGCTTCAACAGCATTACACTGCACGCAATATTATCAAGTTGTCAAGAAAATAATGACAATTTTTATTTGCTTGCTATGGCACCGCAATCAGGCCATGCTCAATCCCCCCCCCCCCCCCCCAGTATTATCGTTTGCCTTCCATAGGTATGACGAAAAGGCTCTACCATGCATAATTAGGCACATATTCTGATTATCATGTCAAATAACCACCATGGGCAAAGTTTTAGCAAATTCTGAGGATTCTCAATATCAGACCATCCAAGTGAAGTGGTCATTTTCAAACATGATTAACTATATCTCAAAAATGAATTAACTAATCTTTTTCTACTCAATACAAAGCACTATTCCATATCTAACCATTCCATGAATCCTGTTCCATATTATCAAACTATGGATTAGGAGCAGGCCAAATATAGTTTGTTCCATTTTTCGCTTTTAATGGCTGCGCTTTCATCAAATTTTACTCAGAGCAAGGAAGATGAATCAGGCCCAAATTACTCCCTTGTAAACAACAAGACTCAGGCTATCAAAATATATGTATTTCGTTCGCTAAAAATCTTCTCGGAGGCAAGTTATTGGGGCGTGGCACAACCCGTAAAAAGCTGTGGCCGCCACACCCCATTAACTTACCTACAAACATTCAAATCTCCGTCGTTTTTGATAGTTGCTACTGCTAAATCTTCTTCTCCACATAGCAGGAATTTCATACAAAATTGTTTCTCCTAGGGAAAGATATAGTCGTTTTTCCTCTGAGAATGAAAAACACTGCGAATAAGTAGTTACGGCAATATGCTAAATCAGCGCTACTATGTGAAACGCGAGGGAAGCCATAACAAGTATATTCCATAGCCTTATCCTCGTAACTTTCACAAAAGTGATTGTCTGATTGGTCTTCTCTGATCTAAGAAACTGAAAACGAAAAATGAGACAAATGAGATTTTGGCTTGCTGTTAATTCTAGAGTTTGGAGGTTAATTGAAGTGAGATTCCTAATGTGAGCAAAGTAGTAGTACTTTGTAATGAATGCAAAAAAGTAGCTTACTCAACTTTGAAACAAAGTTAGCACGTTCGAAAATGACCACCTCACTTGAGTGCTCCCCTATTTGGAAACCTCAAAATCGCTGAAACTTCGCCCACAGGAGTTATTTGACATGCTAATTACGATGATGCTCTTATGCTTCTAGGATTCTTTTACGCTTACTGTGCGTGTAGGACGGTAGGCCAAACATCAGTGTCGGTATCTTGCCAATGGGCCTATCAGACACTGTTGACTGACGTCACGTCGCTGACATCACTATCACCTCGATAACAACCTCCCCCCCCCTCCCCTCTTCCTTGACTCCTCTACTACCCCCCAACTGTGGCGTGCCGCACCCCACGCTTGACCTTGACTCCAACTTTCTTTGCTCATTTTGATAATCGATGAAATTCATAAATTTAGCGGCTATTTTTACAAACGATTTTACTCGTAACTGGCATGCTCATTTGCCCCCTGTCCTAACTCCCAACCCGGTACCTAAAGAATTGCAAAAAAAAATCGAACAAATCGATAGAAGCAATGAGTACACACAGTTTTTTTTCACACCCAGTTTTTTGAGGCAGTGTCCCGGCAAAATTTCGCTTGCCACTATTTCACCTTTTTGGAGATATCTCGCAATACTAAGCCCTTATCGCTTTGCAGCGCATAGAATGGCAAAAATGAGCTTTTTTCGAGGCGTTCCATGTTCTTATTTGCTGAAACGTAGTACACGTAAGTGGACAAGGTCCGAAAGACTTCCAAAGTGGATATTAGGCTTTCCAGACAAGCTTTTTCGTTCCAGACTTCACTGATAGATTAGTTAGGGGTCTGCCATAGAAACACCGTAAAATCCCGTCGCCCGCATTTGACGGGACGGTGGCTTTAAGCACACAGCATGCTCACTTACCTCCCCACCCCCCCCCCTGAATTTAATGAACAATTAGAATAGACAGCGTAGTGACATGTGAACGAATCAGTGAGTGGTATGATTCCGTAGTAATTTTCTTTCGTCACCTTCACATTTGACATGTGCTTCCGTTTCAATGCAGCATGCGGAAAACCGCCGCTTGTCCCAACGGTCAGGAACGGTTCTGCAGCTGGTCTATTCAACACATAATCATACATAAGGGTGGATCCAGCCGCCGCATTTTATTTTATCGGGTTTATTAGGCCGTTAACTAAGATTTGCAACTGAGTCCGTAATTTTTCGGTTTCTGATATTGGCGCGCTCAAATTTAGATATTGTATATAGACTGCCGTGAGAGCTGTAAACTGACACAAACCGCTCGCTTTCTGAGGACGAAAAAGAAAAGATTCAAGAGTTTTACGAAGACTGGTGAAGTTCGAGAATTCATGAAGTTTTGAGAGAAAATGAAGCCGTTCTCAACCTGAACCATGCAAAGCAATCCGAAAGTGTGTAAAAATTGTTGCTAGAGGTTGACTTATCTGGAGTAGTAAAGAAAAAATGGAATTTGAAGACAACTCAAGACCTGGCACCCTCACAAAGTTGAGCAAGCTGCTCAAGGATAAGCGTCAATCACCAAGGAATCGAAGTCTCAGGATTCACCAAAACTTTGCATGGTGGAGTTAATTGCCCTGCATACAAACATCACACTCATTCATCAAATCAACCTCTTTTTTGTTTTGCGTGAGACCCCATACCGTAAACCTACTGTAACCTTATAAAAAAGCCCCTACCATGCGAAACCAATATCATTTTCGTGATCAGCATGTCAGATAACCTACCTACGCAAAGTTTCAGCCAAATTTGTAATTTCATATAGTTTCTCCCTCATACCATAGATCTATCGTAACCCTCACTGCGACGTCAAAGTTTTGCAGAACTGTGTCTGCGTTTGTAGCTTACGTCACGGCCTACATGATGGGAAAATATGAGTGCGTCATATGCAGAGAAGTTGTAAAAGTAGTTGCAAAAGTTAGTCAACAATAAGAGAGAATAAATGGACGTGAAGAGCTTGAAAAATGGACTAAAGCATAACGAACACAAAATGAGGTGTGTAAGTGGACCAAGAAATGGTGTGCTTTTATACCTAAATTTGGGAAAAGCCCCCTCTCCCTCCTCCCCCCCCCCTCCCCAGAATGGGTCGCGAAATTTTTAAAATTTACTTGCATGGGTATATAAATGTGCAAGTGACTTGTTTATTCCTATGAATAATTGAAACAATTAATCTTTTTTTTTGAAAATTCAATTTAGCATTAAAAAAAATTTTCGGGGGCGTGGCTACCGCCACTCCCCTATTTTAGATTTTAGGGATTATAGACCCGCAAAAATTTTGAGAAAAAACGCCACGCCCTCCCAAAAAATTTCGGGAGGGCGTGGCGTTAGCCACGCATCTTCATTTGAAAAATATTTGCCGCATTTTTAAGTGCTGGCTTTAACTTAGATTTACAGTATGGGAAATCGCCGATCGCACTTTAGGATTATGGTAGGGATTTTCAGCATACAGAACCATTGTGGAAGGGGTTCTCCGACAAATTTTCAGAAAACCTGAAAAATTATGTAATAGGGTTTTCGCGCATTCTAACTTCACTACATAACTTTTTACGAGCTTTTTCAGACTTTTCAAAGGTGTGATGACATTTTTGACAAGCACTGAAAGACAGTTGTTACGGTCAATCTGGAATAACTTATGATAGAAACATTAGAGTAATCTGCGAACTTCATACTCGAAATCATTGCCCCCAACTAACCTAAGAGACTTTGATTTTAGTTATGTAGCAAACCATGGTCCTTAGGCCTAGAATAATTCTCCAATACTTACCATAACCTTACAGCAAAGAAAAGCGATCGGATTTGTTCCATCTAAGTTGAAATCAGCTCCATAGAATGCTACCTAAATTTCCTCGAAAGACATCAAAGCAAGAGAGTCATCAACGATCAAACAGAGTGAACAAATTTTGGGGCACCTGCATATCACATTGTCCTTATTAAAGACAGAAACTCGCTAAATCTAGCAAAACTCAGATTGTTCAAAAATCTTTGTCTAGAGAAAAAATATATTATAAAAAATCTGCAAAGCGGACAAAACCTTTCTAACAACCAGATCGGCAAGATCCGAAGCGAAGGCAGCTATTTTGGACCAAAAGGAGGCATCAGCTCGAACGAGTAAGTTTTGAGATTTGATGTAATGCTCGTGATGATGACAGCACTCACCACATTCTGAAGGTTTTAGTCGTTGCAAGCTAGAAGAAGCACATCTTCTGATGACAGATAATCAATGGTTCTTAACTGCCAAAGCGTGCTAATATTAGCAGTTGACGTCGATCAGTCAATCATCTTTTACGACTAATGTAGAACGCAGCAGAAAAAAGCAATTTTCTTGTAATAACGTGTATTTGAGAGGGAAGAGGGAGTTTACATGCTACGACTGAAAAGTCTACATAAGCTCAACTTGATAACCAAGTTTATTGGGTCATTTTGATATTACTATGAATATCATTTTTCAACTACATAACAAGATGACAACAAAAGCAACAAATATTGAACAAGCAACTGATACATACAACCTAAACCTACACTACCATTTGAAACCTTCTAATCTGTACATGAGATCTACTGTGGTCGTAATCGAACAAATCCGCTCAATATCCTACTTTGATCGGCTGTCAGATGACACCTTGAAAAAGGAATTTCTTCTGAACTTTCAGAACACAGTAGGCTCCTTACCTATCTTGAATTCGTTGAACTAAGGGCTCCAACTTGTTTCGCGGCAAGCTAACGCTCAGGATTTCCAAGGAAGTTGCAGCTCTGAAACAGGTATATCACGTCTATCCATCTGCAAGGATTTCTGACTTGTAAAGATTGCTTACTTATAAGGATCCTGCTCGCGCAGTGCATCTTCAAAAAGCTCGTACATCGCAGAATGTCGTGCAAAACCTTGAAAAAAAAAGCAACAATTGATATCTACCGAAACATCACACGAACCTGCATTCAAGACTGTCGCTTCGTCTCCTTCGGATGTTTCGGGATCTAGTAACATTTGCAGAAGCTCGTATGCCTTTTGGGAGTCTCCCACTCGGTTGAGAAGTTGGGCACACTCTGCTATCTGAAAACAAGACATCAATCTTAAAAAGAGATCACAGAAACTAACCGAGCTAGGTGAAAATTTCAACTGCAGCCTTCTTTGCCGTTCCTCCGTGAAACGACTAAATTCAATCCATATGTCAACCAAGCGATGAATGAGCTTAGAATATTCCTCGCGATGTTCCGCAGACAAAGCCTTCAACATTTGGGTCAATCAGATTATTACAACCAATTGGAGCACTAATCATACCTGATAATGAGTGTCGATGAGAAGCTCCCTGAAGACTTGACCAACTCGAATGTCAACCATCTGTCGCGCACAAATACCGTCTTCTATCAATCGCACAAGGAGTGTCCAGCGAGGAGACTGCTGAAGAGAAACCGATAGTGAGCGATAGCTTCCAACCGATGAGTTCATCTAGTTTGCTGCTTACATAAAAAACAGAATTCGAGACCAGCAAAACGAAAACAAGGGAAGAGTTTGAGAGCAAGGGAAAGGTGTCGCGTCATAGAAAGACTGACTTTTAGCTTATCTGCCATTGCCAAGGTCAACTGCCTAGAAACGCCGACAAGCCTTGGTACAAGTTCTTTGTATTTCTTCTCAATTTCTTCCATGGATGAAACGCGCTCCACAAATAAAAGAAGGTATCTATTATAGAACCTGAACATGTCTTATAAGTAAGATGAAGTGTTTAAAATCAAATGCATGAAACTAGGAAGACTTGCATTCCTTCAGCTGTCAACGCGGGCATTTTCACATTGTTTGCAGAACTTTCGTAAAGCTTTACCAATCGTTCAGCTATTTCCAGATTTCCAGCACTAAACAAAAGATGCAAATTGTTAGGAGATAAAAACAATCAAAGCTGCAAAATATGACTATCATACTGACTAGTTAATCAAACCCATGGCATCCAGAAAAAAGCAATGATCTTTCACAGAGGAAACATCAAGAGAAGGACGCGATTCCAGTTCAGTCAACATCTCAGAGATCCAGGACATTGCCACTGTCTGAAGCAGGGCCGATAAAGCGCATGCAAGTGTCTTGGATGTATTAGATCGCAAAGTGTACCCATTGCACAGTACCCCGAAGGCACCAAATGTGAATGATCCATAAATGCAAAAAAAATGTTGCTCTCACTCACCAAAGCCGCATCACTCTTCTTCTCGGAGCCCTTGTCTTCAAATGAAGGCAGGTTTTGGATAATGCTGTTCAGTATCACATGGTAGGTTGCTAAACTTGGAGTCACACCAGCTGCGCTCATTTCGCCCATAACCTTTTCGAATGTTGCAAGGCGTTCGCTCACGTTGCTTTGCTGTAACATAACGGATAAGCGTTACCTTTAAGAAAAACTAAACAACCTTTCCTGCTGCAGTAAGTAGAGAGTTCCAAGTAGACAACGATGGCTTCACTTTTTTCGCAGCCATATCTTTCATGAGAGCATGAGCATCCTTCCAATTCGAAACAGCCATCAAGGCGTCATAAGCTAGTGCATGCGGATTGCTCTTTGAAGACAATTCCTGAAATATGGATGACAGTCGAGTATAAGTTGCTAGCGGTTACCTTGTATAATTCCTTTGCTCTGGATACGCTTTCGTTACTAGCAAACCTGAAATCAAGGAGAAGATAAACATAGGATACAATTCGTTATATTGGTAACTCACTTAGCTAACCCAGCGATCATTATTGAAGTTGTTTCAGGAGTGTGCGGAAGTACTTCATATAAAAGATCAGCGATTCCGCCCTAGAAGCTTACTTTAAGGCCCTGGCCAGACTTCGCTCAAAAGCGCCCAAAAGCGCCCAAAAGCGCTCAAAAGCGCCCAAAAGCGCTCAAAAGCGCGCAAAAGCGCCCAAATTTCTCTGGTGTCTCTTCACTTTTTCGTGTGAGGAGAGATGAGAGAGAGTGAGGAGAGGTTAGAGAAGTTTGGGCGCTTTTGCGCGTTTTTGAGCGCTTTTGGGCGCTTTTGAGCGAAGTCTGGCCAGGGCCTAACATATTGATGGTGAGATTATGGGAGTCTACCTGTGTCCAGGTGCTTGGCTCATTTTCACCAAAAGTACGCATTCCATGCCACTCCTCCCATTCGGAAAATGGGACGTTTTTGCCATTATAGTAAGTAACCAGCTTGAACAGCTTCATCTAGAGTAATTGACTAGCAATGAGAAAGTACAAATTTTCACAACCTCATCGCTATAGAAGCATTTAGATGCATCAGCTCGGAAAAAGAAAAAGTAGTCCAAATATTGTGAAAACACAGACCTGTGTCTCCTGAGACACCTCCATGTTCTCGCCTCTCATACGTTCGTACAGCATCACAGCATCTTGCACTTCTCGCTTTTCAATCATAGAAAGGAGGTTTGCTTCAGTCGGGTCGACCTTAGAAATTTGATGAATAACAGTGAAATTCTCACTCACTCTCAAAGGCAAGTAGGGTACCTGTAAGGGATCCGCTGGTTTCTGAGGGCGAAACGCAGGAAGATAGGGATCATCACGATCCAAAGCGAACAATGTAGGCCATTCCTCCGCCAACTGGCGCGCAGCACGTTTCCCCATTTCCTACTTGTCGAAGTAAGTACAGCGACGTCTAGGACATGAACTCACTTTGGCCATGTAATAATTTCTCTTCGTGGCTGCGGTGCTCGGAATCATCGCAGGATCATCGATAAAAGCGAAGTGAGGTGCGGTGGTGTCGACACCCACCGTTTCAGACAATGCTCGAAGAAGATCTGTGGGTCCTCGCTAAAGTATGGCAATTTTCGTTGTGAACCAGCTGCTCTTAGCTTTGGTGAGTCACTACAAGTCAATTCACTCAATGTAGGGTAAACGTCAAGAAAACTATCAGAAAATTGGGCCTGGCAAATCAATAACGAGCGAATCAAACTTTACGGTGATCAAACATACACGGAGCACTTTTACTTCTCATAACAGTGCGATTTTTTTCGCCAAAACTACCAAGGGAAACGTTTTGAGTCGAGATGGCCTTTATAAGACCCATGCCTCTTCGAAGAGCATTGCACACCGATTCCAAATCTACTCTCACTATCTGCCAAGCTCCTCTGAACATCGAGTTATGAGCGTTCGTTGGTACGAAAAATGAAGCAGAATTTGGGTGGAATTAGTTGTTGCGGTCTTTCCAGCGCACAGATAAAGCAGTGTTAAGTGTTAGCATATTAGACAAAAAGTATCCATTGCATGAACTGCTCTGATACTCGACACTGGACCATTTGACACAATTCATCTGATTTTGGTCAGTTTCACGTTCAATTTTTTGGAACAAAACGCTCCTAATTCGACATTCCGAGGCACTTGGCAGATAATGAAGGCAGGTTTGGAATAAGTGTGCTGAGCCTTTCGAGGCAGTATAAGTCTTATCTGAAAAGGCCACTTCGACTTAAAACGCTTCCCTTGTAGGATTTCGCATTCTTGGTAGACAGCGCTAAACTTAAACAAGGACACTTCAAAATCAAAGAATATATACAGTGAAAAATGAATCATGGAGAAGAAAAAAGTTTCCAACCTGATTAACTCACAAAAATAAAAATAAAAATACGTAACTACTCGGATACTGACCTTGATTGCTGGCGGAATGTTGACTTTTGCTGATTTCGTCTCATTGGCGACTTGCACAGAAAATGCTTGCAACCGGATTCCATTCACTCTGCTTCCTATCTTCAGCATCGCGGTACAAAAAGAATAGAAATGCATTTAAAAAATAGGCGTCTGAGCAAATACGCAATTGCGGGCGCAAGAACGCGAATATATTTTTGAAGAATGAATACTCAGAATTTTGCCTCCGATAGACTACGGCAAAACCTATGTTTTGCCCTTTCGCAACACAAGCGGAGGGGGTGAAGGTTCATTCGTCAGCTATGAACATAATATTGGGAACGCTCCCAGCACAAATTATCCACTGATACAACTGAACAACAAACGCCCTGTAGGCTAATGATCAATGAGATTATGGAAGGAGAGTAAGGGAGCGGGAGAACCTAAACAATGATGTTGCCCTTGCTGACGGGACTGTATAACATGTAACAAGGAACAATGCCAATCAACATCTCCGAAACGACCTCCTAATTTACCAGTACATGCAGAACATCAAATCCAAGAAGCAAATGACTCGAACACCCTGGGACGACTGACATCAAAACTAGAGTAGAACCTAGTGTCACATATGCGTTGCTATGCTCTTAACTGCACAAACGATATGAGACGTATCTTTCTTCTTGTGGTCGTGCTTGTTCTACGTTGTAACGCCTTTCCGATGAGAATCCACACAGCAACTTTGCCCATTTCCTCTCGATCATTGCCATGCCTTGCCTCGCCCTTCCAAAATTCCTGCAAGAACCTAAATGCATCCTGGTGCGCTTCCGTATCTGTCAGCAGCCCCGTCTCGGGTGGGTGGGTGGGTCCTAAGCTGACGAAAGACCGGAATGGTCAAAACAGTGCCAAGCACGCGCCTCACAAAAGCTCCGCCCCGCGTGCTTGGCACACAGCCAGCGTGTTGCGAAATTGCAAAACTCCACTTTTGCCTCCGATAGACTACGGCAAAACCTATGTTTTGCCCTTTCGCAACACAAGCGGAACAGGTAAAGCCCGAGGGCATGGAGGCAGGAGTGTAACGAGGTTTCTCTCCGAGACGCTTTGATGAAGGGGCTGAAAATGAAACCCACAGTGACCTCCAAATTCTTGAGCCAATGACGGAGCTCTATCTATTCCACGCTCAAAGCGTCGAAAACGAGATATCTGTCTGAAGCACGGCAGATGAGCAAGATCAAAGGTCCGAACCGAAAGGCTTAATACAAATCACTGAGTGAGCATGTAACACACTGAACCCTAATGATTGCTAACATTCCAGCAGAACAATCATCTGAAATCCCTTATAATGGGCCATACGTCCTCATGGAAACGTGAGGCTGTAAAGGCTACAGTTATCATCATCGGACTGCGGTAGTTATTTCCAGCTTGAACATGTTAAGCCGCACTGCCATGACCTTGACAACGTCTGAAGCACCGAAACTGGAAGCGACTACAACATTGCTTTTGTCTGAGTACGCATTTATTGTGCGTCTACCTTCGCCAAGCTTCGCTTTCTTCGCACACTGTTTGAATTCGCCGCCTCCTGGCATACCTATGGAACTAATATATCCATTGAATATCCAGCTACATAATGAAATCTATATTGGAACCCCCACGATATATGTTGAACACACGGCAGTTTCTAGAAATTTAGTTGATCAAGACTCGGTAGATGACTTCCCGTTGGACATCAGACAGCAGTACTGTGAACGGGATCACATTCTTTTATACGGAGTTGTCCTTGACAAACTGAAAGAGCGCTGCCAGCTTGTTGCCAATAGTGTAGCCATGAACTGCTATATGCTTCGGAAAAAAGCAATGAATAGTTGCAACGGGACTAAGCTCGAACAAACCGCAACCATGTGGTAATGAATTAGATTCAAGCAGATCTCACCGACAACGACTGCTGGGACCCAACCAAGAGTTTGCACTGCCTTCACAGAGATTCACCTGCGTATGAGTTGCGTACTTCTTCCGTTGAGTGAAGCGTAAGGATGACACAAATACACGACCAGTTGGCCATGATCCGAAAAATTCGCCGTGGTTCGTATACGCTGCCAGGAATGCTGACAAGAAAACGCCCATTCTGTAATTCCTTCTGATACCTCGAGCCATGAGAGACTAAGGTCATTAGACCCCTTGGCCATGAAACTAAGTGCCCCGCGCTCAAAGCTTTGCTCATCTGTTCTCGTACTTTAGACTTATCCGCCGCTGTTGAAGGGAGATGTGTGAATATAAATCCTCATATATGGATTTGGCACATACGGTTCTAGCGAGAAGTGCGGCGCAATTCTCGGCTACTTCCTAGGCCCTCGCGACCAATTACATTTCGGCGCCAAGAAGCCGCCATGATTACTATGACCGTGCGTCGCTTCTCTGATCTTGAGCAAGAGACCTTGCTTCAGCAGAAGGGGGCAGCACTTCTAGAAGAAAGCCTTGACGTATACGCATCACTCTTCTCTCATCAAAATTGGCCAGTTTCTGCTGCCTTGCGCAGAGTAGGACTTCAAAAAACCCGCAAAAGGCCCAATAACACCTCACTTTCACGGCGTCCTCGACCTCATTCCGTTACCCTAGTTGGTTACCGATACAACACGAGCGTGCAGATGAACTATAATATCCACGTGGCAATACTAGGAACTACCTCCACTATCAACTTTTTGTAAGAAAAATACGTACGCCTCAGCTTCAGCAAGCCGGCTCCAGCTCTCTTTCATATTAGCCACCTCTGCCTACAACCTATCATCAACAGGAATATATTGCAATCTCGAAAAGGCGAGCTCCTCTCCAGCTGAAAAAACCGCGACTTATCAACGCGTAAAAAGTAGACTATGACTCGGATCCTTCCTCTGAATTGGGATCTGGGACCACCAGTGAGCCAAAATCAACTGTCTCGTCGGGATAGAGATCACCACCTCGCCTTCACGAAGCATCAAATCTCTCCTCTGGATCGAAATCCAGGACCACCATGGCTTTAAAAGCCGGTATCAACTTTTCCTCTGAATCGGGATCCAAGACCACCTAGTTCCGTAAACCAATATCAACTCTTTTCTCTAAATCGTGATCCAGGGCCACCTCGCTATAGGAAGCCGACATTAACTCTCTCCTCCGGATCGACTCCAGGAATACCTTGGCTTCGCCAAGCCCAACTCCCTTCTCTGGATTGGGATCCAGGACTACCTTGGCTTCACCAATCAACTCCCTTCTCTGGATTGGGATCCAGGACCACCTCGGCTTCAGGAAGCCGGGATCAACCCTCTTCTCTGGATTGGGATCCAGGACCACTTCGGCTTCAGAAAGCCGGCATCAACTCTCTTCTCTATTGGGATCCAGGACCACCTCGGCTTCAGGAAGCCGGCATCAACTCTCTTCTCTGGATCGGGATCCAGGACTACCTCGGCTTCAGGAAGCCGGCATCAACTCTCTTCTCTGGATCGGGATCCAGGACTACCTCGGCTTCAGGAAGCTGGCATCAACTCTCTTCTCTGGATCGGGATCCAGGACCCTCGGTTTTACGAAACCGGCATCAGTTCTATTTATCATGGTTACATTGTCTAACACGAGCCATAACTGAGTCCAATCAAAACCGGATCCAAATTGTTTCAAGCCAGCATGTGACTTTGGCCGTCAAGGTTAATCCATTTATACATAAGAAACAACAAATCAACCCTCATTTCTGGATCGTTATGCGGAGACACTAGGCTTCGCGAAGCCGGCATCAAAGTCAACGTGTAAGGTCGTATCGGTACTATCCCCTTCTGGAACAAGATCGAAGACCAGCTTCAGAAAGCCGGTAACTAACTTGCCATCGTCCGGCTAGACCTGGAAACGCATGAAGCCTCAACTCACTCGCCAACCCCTGGATCGGAATCCCGGGACATATCGGCTTCACGAAACGGAAACTAACTTACTTCCCAAGTTCACAGTTGTTTCTCAACTTCTACAAATGGCCAAATGGTTGATCATTATCCTCGATAGAGGATCCACTACCAGCTAGGCTTCAACAAGCCTGAGTCCAACTTACATTTCAACACGAAGGGCCGCAGAACTAATACCGGCGCACAATCGAATTCCCCGAATGGGTCCGAACATCTCGACATACGGCATTGAGATTATTTCAACTAAGCCTAGCCGCTACCTGTGGTTGGGTCGACATCTGATGATATCAGCTAGCATCCTTGTGGTGAGCGAGACGGTGTAGATATGTAGTCTGGCTAGACAGACAGATACTCCGCCATTTGAGTCCGTCTATGAAGCTGACTTAACAACAGCTAACTATGAAGCAAGCATACTTCTATCTAGGAAGTCGTCACTGAGAAAAGCTGTAAGTCTGCCGTCCCACATTAAATCGCTATGGAGCACTGATCGAAAGCGCTAATCGAGGCCGAGAAACTGCTTCCTGCTTGAGGTGACCTCCTCTATTTGAACCAGAAATTACACAAGACACGTCGAAAGTCTATGCATAAGGAACTTTGTACATATGACAACACAATCACTTGTACCCTATTTTGGTAAGTATTGACATTCCGACATGATCGTTCTATACGAACCAAAGGTGACCGCTATTCCTTCAATACAAACAAACCTCAAGAGGTATGAGGAAGACATCATGCCTACCAACTTGCACACTCCATGAACCAGCGTATCCTAGCTTCTATACTCCAGCGATAACTCCTCTTTTCTTCTTAATAGGAGACAGAGCATGAACAGTGCCTCTCCTAAGCTGACGAAAGACCGGAATGGTCAAAACAGTGCCAAGCACGCGCCTCACAAAAGCTCCGCCCCGCGTGCTTGGCACACAGCCAGCGTGTTGCGAAATTGCAAAACTCCACTTTTCCGAATGTTCTGTTTGTTGTTCAAAGGCTTTTCATCCCTTGACATTTTAATCGAAAAGACTGTTTTTCACTTATACAATGCTTATCCCATGAGAACTATTTGTGTGGGACGAGTTTACGATGCCGTTCATGAGTAAACTACCTATGTCTCAAATCTCTACGAAAATTTGAGTGGGTGTGTGTTAAGCTGTTTACTCGCAATTTCGGGTTGATTTCAACAGGATTAAGGGACCTAGTTTGTCCGTGACACTCTCTCATTTGACTTCAAAGTTTTGATGTAAACTTCATTGAGCCAATACTTGGAAGACATCATGGAACAAATA